TTAGAGAAATTTTTGTAATTTAAACGAGCAATAATTCCCTTCTGTAGCCTTGTGCGCGGCTCCACAGGAGAAGCCACAATAGACGGAGCCGCAGAAGATCTGCCAGCCGCATCAGCCTCAGGTGCTGGCTACTCAGATCTCGAGGAGGATTGTGTCGCGCCTGTGGGCGACAACCTTCGAGGCGAGGTGGCGGGCCCGGTCGAATCCGGTGCATGCAGCCCAGCCGGAGTGGCGGGCCCTGGCGAAGCCGAAGCGGGCCAACCAGGCGAGGCGGGCTCAGGCACGCGGATATCTGTCCGCCACGCGTCGTCAGCCGGTTGGCACGGAACGACGACGCCGCTGCCCTGATCACGCGCCCGCTCGAGGCGCTCGGGCCCCGAGGTGCGACCAGGTGCTGTGCGCCCGGATCCCGGATAGGATATTGGGTCCGGCTGTAGGGATCCCGAGGCAGATCCTCCTCGATTTGCATCCGTGTCGCCGGTTGGGGGGCACATGAAATCACGTCTGTTTGGACTGCAATTTTCTTCTCCATCTGAATTTAAATCTGCAGCAGTAATCTCAGGCATAATATGATGATTAGAGGCAAGTTGGTCAGTACTATTATTCTCTCCCCCATGATCAACGCCGGTTAAGGTAGAGGGCAAAAGAAGAATTTCTTTGCGAAGTAATGTGCCGGCATTGGGGTGGAGTTTAGCAAAGGGAAACACCGTTTCATCAAAGACAACGTCGCGGGAGATATACACACGTCCCGTGGCTACATCAAGACACTTAACCCCTTTGTGCTGTGCACTGTAGCCTATAAAGACACATTGTGTTGATCGAAACATAAGTTTTCTATTATTATAGGGACGAAGGTTGGGCCAACATGCGCAACCAAACACACGAAGATGGGAGTATTCGGGTTTGATATGAAGTAGACGTTCAGTGGGTGTTTCATGATTAATGACACGACTAGGCAAGATATTTATGAGGTGCACCGCGGTGAGGAATGCCTCATGCCAGAATTTTAGTGGCATGGATGCCCCGGCAAGGAGGGAAAGGCAAACATCAACAATGTGTCTATGCTTGCACTCCGCTGAACCATTTTGCTGGTGAGCGTGAGGGCAAGAAACATGATGAGAAATCCCTATCCATTGGAAAAAGGAGTTAAGTTTCTCATATTCCCCTCCCCAATCCGACTGCATGGCAAGTATTTTGCAATCAAATTGTCGTTCGACAAGAGCTTGAAAGTTAAGAAAGACTTGGAAGACGTCGGAGCGTTTCTTGAGGAGGTATATCCAGGTATACTTACTAAAATCATCAATGAAACTCACGTAATAGGTGTGCCGACCAACAGAGGAAGGGGCTGGTCCCCATACATCTGAAAAGACAAGCTGCAAGGGTTTTGTTGAAACACTATTGGAAATAGGATATGGCAAGTGGTGGCTTTTTGCTCTTTGGCAAGAGTCACAAATAGTTTCATGATCATGCTCGTCAACAAATGCGAGCTTATTTTTGCTAAGAATTTGATAAACAACGGAAAAAGAGGGGTGGCCTAAACGATTATGCCATCATTCTGAAGACACCTTGAAGGCTCCGTATGCCTGCTTATTGAACTTGGAAATTGTGGGGATCAACGGGTAGAGGCCTTGCACACATCTACCGCGATAAAGCACCCTCCTCGTGACCTGATCCTTGATCAAAAAGAAGAAGGGATGAAACTCTATGAAAACACCATTGTCAAGAGTAATACAATGAACTGACAGAAGATTTTTTGATGCATTAGGAATGTGCAGAACGTCATCTACACGAATATCACGATGTGGGGTTTGAATAATAGACTTGCCAACATGACTTATCATCATACGTGGATCGTTTTCAGCGGTATGGACTTGATCTTGACCTTGGTACTTCTCGTGCATGGTCATCTTCTCAAGCTCAGAGGTGATGTTCTCATTCGAGCCAGAGTCAAGATACCAGTTGGAGTCAACTCCGTATGAGGCATCTACCGCGGCTGCAACACGCCTCCTTCGAGAATTGTCCTCTGCATAGCGCCACTTGCACTCTTTCGCAATATGGTTAGTTTTCTTACAGATTTGGCATTTGTTTTCATACTCCTCATACCCCGCGAAGCGACCGCCTTGATTGTTGTTGTAGTAGTGGCGAGGGGGGCCGTTGTTGTTGTAGTAGCCCCCGCCACCGCCGCCACGATGGCCACCGCCTTGACCACCGCTGTTGCCGTAGTTGTTGTAGCCGCCGCCACCGCCATGGTTGTAGGCGCCGCCACCCGCGCCAGGATAGCCGCCGCTAGGGTTTTGGACGCCACCGCCAGGATAGCCCCCGCCGCGGCCGCCGTTCTTCTGGTTTCGGTAGCCGCCTTTGCCACCACCTGAGCGACCTCTGGAGACCGTGTTTGCCGATGACTTGAAGCCATCGGCGCCGTTGAACATCTCAACGCGCTGATCAAAGTTGGCTACCATCGAGAAGAGCGCGTCGACGGTGATGGGCTCGGTGCGGACGTCGAGTGCAGAGATGATCGGTTGATACTCCATGTCAAGCCCGGCGACGATGAAGGAGATGAGCTCTCCCTCCCCAAGCGGTTTGCCCGCCGCCGCAAGCTCGTCAGAGAGGGCGCGCATTTGCCCGAAGTAGGTGGAGGCGGATTGAGATCCTTTCTGGGCATTGGTGAGGGCGGATCTGATGTTGTTCACGCGAGACAAGGAAACTGCAGAGAACATATTTGCTAATGCCGTCCAGATCGCATGAGATGATTCAAGCGAGGCCACTTGAACAAGCACCTCCTTGGACAGATTACAAAGTAGATATGCCACGATTTGTTGATCTTGGACTAACCAGGTATTATGGGCAGGATTGGGAACTACCTGCTCCTTACCATCTTTGTCTTTGCTAGTGATTGTTTTGGGAGGCTCCTCTATGGTTTGATCTATGTAGCCAAACAAGCCAGCGCCCAGTATCTGGGATCACGCTTGGGCTCGCCAGAGAACGTAATTCGTCCGGCTGAGGGGTTCTGATGTGTTGTAGTTGAGGCCGGAAGAGGTGATTGCGGTGGAGGAAGACATGGCTGCGGCGTGGTGGATTGAAGTTGGAGAGGATGGAGAAAGATGAGCTAGATGCTATGGAAGAGGCCTGCTCTGTATACCATGTGGAAATTGTAGAAGCGTCTCAACTCCCGTAACATGGGAGCCCGCATGATATATATTGATTGAGGCGAGGCCGGCTCTCGAAGAGGCATACAAGATTAGGTTGTTCAACAACCGGAGTGATACATGGAGAGATAGAGGAGGATAAAGATAAAATGATAACCATGCTAACAACCAGAAAATATATCTCCTAACTACTCTAGGGCGTAGAGCCGCACCAGCCAACACATATGTTTAACAGTCCTCAATTGTGAACCTGCGCTGGCTAAAGTACCTCACCAAACACCGATTCCTTGAGCACGCGGACGTCATCCAAGAACATCAGCCTCATGCCCGGCGTTGATGGTTTTATCTGGCAGTGCGTACCCTTGGACACAAAGAACACACTGATCGCATGTCAAGAAATTTTGGGGAGCAGACTTTGTGCTCGGTTGCTGCAAGAGCACACAACAGATGTGCTGGCTTTGGAAAAAAGAATTTCAACATCCGTTTTGGGACAGATGTCATTGTGTCGAGTTTGAGTCTCCAAATTTAAGGCCAAAATATCTATCATTTTATATTTATTTTTTATATGCAAGGCAGGAACTCCACCGATTTCATCAAGATAGAAAAAATACAGAGGGGAAACTGACCAAAAACCATCTAACAAAATGCAAAAAAAAAGAAAGAGAAAAGAAAAACTGATGAAGCCAACCCAAATAAACCGCCACCACCTGTGGTGATCTCATCCTAGAATGATCCTAAACGAGATCTTTTGAGATGCCTTCAAGAAGGTAACGGTGCTTGTGAACGCCACCATCACAGGTATATCCAATCGATCAAAAAGCTTTCGCCAAGGCTAGCGCATGATCACCCCGCCGAAACCCGGAATAGGTTCAGCCAATCCTACAACCTCCAATGCCACATCCCCTCCATGCAGTCATCTCCAATGGAAAGAAGTACTCTTTGACAATGTCTCAAGGAGGACGCCCATGAGTGCCAACATCACCAACAACGGCCCCCGTCGAACCTTACGTGTCACTATCTCTGACCCTGGGGAGGAGCCAGGACACAGCGAACCTTACAAGATTGAGCCGCGGCTCGACTTCCATGGAGGGGAGCCAGAAGAAAAGGAAAGGAATGACGCCCACATCACCATGGTGGACTGCTTGTATTGACACCAACACCACCTTCACTATTGCAGCAAGGGCTTCGGAAGCCATAACGCCGCACACCACGCCAGCACCACCGCCGCGCCAAGCCGTTGCCAGACAAATCGAGCACAGCCACTGCAAATCCGCCTGGAGAAGAATGCCACGTAGCATGGTCGCTGCCCTGGCCACCACCCCACCGTCCACATGGCCTAGAGCGGTCAATGTCGCCGCTAGATCGCCGCACCACACGTCGACGGCCTTAGCCCATTGGATCCGAGCGTGAGGCCCCGGAGCCACCACCCTACAGCACAGTCGCACCTTCACCACGAAGGAAAGAGAGCGAGAGGGGAGAATGGCGCTTGCTGCGCCTCGATTCGCAGTCGGCCGACCCTAACGGGTGCATCTGAACGAGCCAGTTAACGGCCGTCAGCCCCCTGCCGTCACGGTTTTGCCGTGTCAGCCCTTCGCCACGTCACATGAGTTCAGTGTTTTTTGTTGCTGATTAACGTTGCGTTCAATGCATTGTACGATGAGCACACAAAATGATGATATATATTTTACTAATCACAACATAGTTGTGGTGATTTTATGGATTTAACTCAACTCACTGGTGCAGCCATTTTATACTCAGTTGCCATGTCCCGAATTACGAATCTAAGCTCACACGAAAAAACTCATGATCGAATGCAGCCGATCGGACCGGCCGTGGCGTCTACTACGATCCCATTTAGCTTCTAGAGCACGAAGACATACACGCCATCGCGTCCAAGAACCTCCGCGTCACTCCCAGCGACGACTCCTCGCCGTCGCCGTGCCTAGCAGCGTCGATCACCTCCTCCATCTCTGCGGCCTTCCGGCTCATCGCGGCGCGCACTCCAGACGTCTCGCTGAGCACCCTCTCCACCGCCTCCGCCACCTCGTCCCTCGTCACGGCCGCCGCGGCGCCGCGCGCCAGCTCGACGCACACCCCCATCTCCTCCGCTAGCAACTTGGCGTTGTAGAACTGCTCCGCCGAGAGCGGCCAACCGACCATCGGCACGCCGCAGGCGAGGCTCTCCTGCGCCGAGTTCCACCCGCAGTGTGTCAGGAAGCCGCCCGTGGCTGAGTGCGCCAGAATCTCCACCTGCGGTGCCCAGCACTGAACCACCAGCCCGCGCCCTGCCGCCTCCATCCTCTCCGCGAACCCGTCCGGAAGGCCCAATGGCGGTGACTCGCTGCCGTTCACGTCGGCGGCGGGCTGGACCACCCACACGAACTTGTGCCCGCACTTCTCGAGCCCCATTGCCAGCTCCGTCGCCTGCGACGCGGAGATCGTGTACAGCGACCCGAACGACACGTGCAGCACCGAGCCTGGCGGTTGCTTGTCGAGCCACGCCAAGATGGGGCTACTCGTCATCGTCTCCGGGGACGACGAACTTGCCGCCCGAAGCAGCGGCCCGACCGGGAATATCGGGACATTGTTGAGCCATTGCCGCAGCATGCTTAATCCCTTGGGCTCCAGCTTCTCAGCGGTGTTGACGAGCAGCGCGTCGGCGCGGGAGAAGGCGGCGATCTGCCTGCGGAAGAAGGTGGACCACGCGTCGCCGCCGTCGGCCGCCGCGAGGTGATCCGTGAGCTGCGAACGGTGGACGCGGATGTCCGGGAAGCTCGGCAGCCGGAAGCACTCATCGACGTCGGGGACAAGCGGGACGCTGTTCCAGAGCGAGAAGTAGAGCGCCGAGCCGTAGCCACCGGTGGTGAGCAGGACGGAGTGCGTGACGCCGTGGTCGCCACGGGCTACGTCCGCCGTCCAGGCCAGGAACATGTCCGCCACGACGTGCACGTCAGCGAGGGGGTCGGAGCATCTGAGGTCGACGATGAACTGGTGGAACGCCGGGCGGAGCGACTCGGAGGCGAGGAAGTGGTCGATGAGCTGCTGAGAAGCGTCGGCGGGGTGGAAGGGGAGGGCGTGGACGGAGATGCCTTCGTCGTCGAGGTTGGCGCGGACGGAGTCGGCCGTGCCGGAGGTGGCGACGACGGTGACCCGGGTGTCGGGGCGGCAGCGGCGCACAAGGGGGGCGAGGCAGCGGAACGGCGAGAGGTGGCCCTGCGCCATGAAGGGGAACAGCACGACATGATCGGCGCGTCGGTGGCGATCGGTTTCAGCTGCCATGGCGATCGAACCGGTGGTGGCGACGTGAGGTGCCGGCGATCGAATTGATCTGGTCAAGGGTAGTTCGCGAGTGCAACGCCTCGTGGGTTGGTTCGGTTTGGATGAGAGGATCAGAAGCATAGTTTTAAATAGCGCGCTAAGCATCTTAGCGGCGGACCTCTTCCAAATGCTATAGCGTGCTATAGCGGAGCTATAGCGCGCTATTTAAAATGTTTGTTTATTTTTTTGGACCAAAATCTCTTAGCGCAAGACCTTTTATAAACGCTATAGCGTGCTATAGCGGAGCAATAGCGGGCTATTTAAAACAGTGATCAGAAGAGGGTTAACATGCAACTCGGGTGCGCCGAGTCCGAAGCTGTTCATGATTCGGAGAATACACTACAGGAAAACGTACTCGGCTTATAGTCGATTAAGCAGAGTACAGATAGAAGAAAAATAGGCAAACAGAAACACTCGGCTTACTTGAAAATAAGAGTGTAAACCAAAAATACACTTGACTTAGAGAGAGCTCGCCGTACAAAACAATAAAGCTCTCGAAACTAGATGCATGAACCAAAAGTCGGTCCGCTCCAAGTACGAAATCCAACGACAACTTTACATCTCGTTCAATAAAGCGACAATTTTATGCAATTAGCTTGAATAAATGCGAACGATTGAGAACATAAAAAAGGCAACGCCCAACAAAATATTTCTAAAGCGACGGCATCGAACACCATCCCAAGACCATTGGCAGCATCAAACGGCATGCATTGTCACAGAATTCATGTTTTCAGTACACAATTTCTCCACGGGAGCTGCCCGCTCGCATTTCCCTCCCCCCATCACGTGCCCGGCGAATTTCACGCAGGTCCAAGAAACGCATGCAAAGCCTGACCTAAACACATCATCCAACTCTGCAATACGGCTGCATATAGAAAAAAAACGTGCCACAGAAGGGCGATGCCACCAACGAAGAAAAACAAAGCATGAACACGAACCTGAGAATCTACGAAAAGCCAACGAAACGCCGGATGCCGGCGACGCCGAGCAGGCTTGAAGCCGCCGCACTGAGTAAGCTCAAAGAAGCCCCTAGAAAACAAAGTGAGGAAAACGAAGCAACGAAGGCGGGTGTGCACCACGTCTGACGAACGACATAATACAGTGATTTATCAAAATATTCAACCGACTTATTAAAAAGACCTAAATGCCCCGACATTGCTCACCCCGACTCGAACAGCCCGAGCACCTCAAAGGGAGCGGCCAGGCCCCGGACCGGCTCGGAAGAACGAGGCAGCCAGCCCCTGCGGCATGCAACCACACGCTAACAAGGGTAGTAGGGTGTGAAGCATGCGCAGCCAACCAGCCTCAACAACAACGCAACCCGACAAGGAGCATGCAAGGCTGGCATACAGATCGGGCTCGCGCCGACGCGCGCGAGCCAGCGGGCAAGATGGTGCATGCGAGCGGGACAAAATACCCGTAAGCCAGATGGCTCGAGCATGCCCCTGGACCACGCGTGATGAACCCCCGCGGTCCACCCATCATAGACCCCCGTGGCAGGCTGCTCTGGTGTGCCCCGTCCATACAAATCGGACGGCGAGAAGAGCCCCTAAGAGGCCCCCCTCATGGAACGCCACCGCAAAACGGACGACACGGAGGGCACTCTCGCTCGCGAAGGCCCCCAGGAGGTGAGTACTCCAACATCCTTTATAAGAGTAATAAGGGTTTTCCAACTAGTGTGTGGGCCCATACGACCACCCTCTAGCCAGGCCACTTGACCATGTGGGACCCACCCGACTGGCTCCGATCGCCCTAGAAACTTCTTGGTGAAAAAAAGATCTTAAAATTTTCTTGATTTTTTTGGCTACATAAAATTTGATTTTCCTCAAAGTCTAAAAACACGCATAAACAATAACTATCAATGACCACTTGATTATTAGGTCAGTCCAGAAAAATAATAAAACTTAATGGAAAATTATACAAAATTGATAATAATAATAATAATAATAATAATAATAATAATAATAATAATAATAATAATAATAACATGAAACGATAAAAAAATAGATATGTTTAGGACGTATCAGTGCTCTACCTTCAACAGGACCATGAAGGTGTCTGGGCTTGAACAATTGGATCCATGAGTGTCTCCATATCCGTGAGGAGATTGTAGAAATGGGTTAAGGTCACCTACATGCCACAAAACTCAAAGACCTACTTGGCAACAATGTTGAAGTGCATCTCCTTGAAACCTTTGTTAGTCCTCACCTTGCTGGATAAGATGTCCCACATATTTTTAAGCACGAATGTGAACAAGAATGACTGTCATTTCATTGCATTCCTCTTCCCGGACGCCCTTATTGTTGCCTTTCTAGCCTTGATGGCTGCCCTAGTAGCAACAACATCAGCAGGAGGAGGAGGAACATGCACTGCCATGACAAAAGATGGTTACACAACCCGCCTCTCGAACACAATTGAATGAATAGGCATCTGCTCACATAGCGGCTGGAAGTCCTAAACATAAGAGGGACATAACTAGTTATCGGATAAAACAATGCCCTGACTAAGACCGGTGTCCCTGTCCAATAATGGCTTGCATCAGGACCACTGAACAAACACAATGCATACTACGCAGGGACTGATCTTCAACCACAGCAGATGTAGCAAACTAGCATTTTACCACACTAGCGCATCTAGGAAACTACTCCCTCCATCTCATAATGTAAGACGTTTTTTGACACTAGCATTCAACACACTATTATCTATACATGGTCTGATCAATGCATGAACACACCAATGCTGACAAGCAAAACCTAGCATGAACACATCTGATCTACCACATCATCACATGCTTACAAATTAAAAAAAAGCGAGATTATTCATAAATTTGAGAACATTTTCTAGAACATGAATATGTTTAAACTTGAGAACATTTTTTATATACTCCAATATTTTGGAACATCTGAGAATAATTTTAAATTCTATTACTTTTCTGAAAAAAGAACATTTTTTAATATTTAAGAACATTTTATAAAATTCCTGAAGGTTATGGAGAAATTTAAACATTTTATAATTTTTTTAAAATTTTCAACTTAATGAATATATTTGTAAATCCAAGAAAATTTTAAAAGAAGTAAAAAAATATGATTTTTTGAAAGGAAAACTGGCTGAAAGACTGAGGGAAGAAAATCTGTTTGGTAGGATCCAGCGTCTAATGGGCCGTCCCAGACGAGGAAGTTGTGTTTGGTCGCGATGCTAGTTGGGCCCGTGACCAGCAGAGACGCAGAACACGCGTCGGACAGTGAAGGAATATAACGCAACCCACCCAGCCTTCTTCTAACCCTAAAAAAAAACAGCCTTCTTTCACCGTCAAAGAACCCTAGCGAGGAGGCGGCGCCGGCGGTGAAGAAAAAACGAGGGTCGAGAAGGTGCGAGCAAAATTGCGGAGGGGATCGACGACCCGTGCTCCGACATGCCGCAGGTATCAAGGGCGCGCTTGTGTAGGCGGAGGAGACGTCCCTCGCAACCGGCGAATGCCGGATTAGATCACGACATCGAGTTGAAATCAACCTGAAATCTAAAAAGCGGCCGGCCACTAAATAGACAGAACGAGCGGCCGAACGCTCACCGCTCGATCGACTCAGATCGTGCGGCCCGCAACGCCAGGTGTTACCTGGTCGGCGAGGCAGTCACGAGCACCGCGCTACACGACAGACGTCCAATCTCTCCTCCTCCACCTTCTCCTCTTCAGCCACGCCCATCTTCCCCCGTCGTTCCCCTTCCCCATCCACCTGCCCCCGAGCAGCAGGGAGCATCGGCGCCTGCGCTACGTCGCCATGGATGGCCCGCCCCGAGTAGCAGCCAGCAGCCAACGACGTGAGGCTGGGAGTTCCTCTCCTCCCCGGATCCCGGTGACGGCGAGATCCAGCAGATGTAGACCAACCGGCGGTTGTCGTCGCCACGGCACGCGGCCCTCTATGGGCTTGTGCTTCCGCTCGCCTGGCGACGTGGTTCCCAATGACTTACCAAATGGCTGCTTCGATCTGTGCCCCGATGACATGCCTAGTGCCCCAAGAAGGTCGTATCTTCTCCTCATCCACTCCTTTTGCTCTCTTTCTCTCTCTTCTTCCCTAGCCTGATGCGATGATTTGCCCCCAACAAATCCATCAATTTTTCATGTTTCCTTGCCGGGAATGAATAGATTGGATGTGTTGGTTCGTTGCTGCAGGGACGTGCTGGAGTCCTCGTCCACTGCATCTAGTAATTACAGGCCGCAGCATGGGAAGATAGAGAATCTCTGCCAACATTTCTGCTCAGACTGCGCACAACTACAAAATGTTGCAGTACCCAGATCAGAAGCCTCTGCATCCTGAAACGGCACCTTCGCCACTTGCAGATCGAGAACAAGTATTTACAGGGTAGTTTTAGTTGGCATCTATAATAGTTTTAGTTGCACACATAGTTGTTTTTCGTTGGACATGATTATTGGAAAGTTGCACATACGGTGATCATTTTTGTTGGCATCTATAGTAGGTTTAATTTAATTGCACACATATTTGTTCTCAGTTGGATACGATCATTGGAAAGTTGCACACACAGCGATCATTTTTTGTTGGCATCTACAGTACTTCTAGATATTACGCACATAATTGTTCTCAGTTAGATACGGTCATTCGGAAGTTACATACACGGTGATCATTTTTTGTTGGCATCTATAGTAGTTCCAGTTGCACACATAGCTGTTTTCAGTTGGACATAATCATTGAAAAGTTGCACACACAAGGATTATTTTTGGTTGGCATCTATAGTAGTTCTAGTTGCACACAAAGTTGCACACACGACGATCATTTTTTGTTGGCATCTATAGTAGTTCTACTTGCACATATAGTTGTTTTCAGTTGGACACGGTCATTGGAAGTAGTTGGCAGGGGCAATAGAAGTAGTTGCACAGAATCTGCTAGGCAGTTGGCCAGGGCAACAGATAAAGTTGCACATCTCACTGACATGAATTTGTTGAATGGTGAAAAAATGCACATCCATAGACCATGAGGGTGCAGAAAAGTTGTATACAGGTGAGATCTTTGAAACTAGATCCCGCATGGGTATATTTTGACGAATTTTTCTCGATGCCAACTTTGGAGCTATATAGTGCAACTCTATTACTG